GAATCCAGGTTGGAAAGATAGATGCCTGCAGAGGGACGACGAGATAAAGGGAATGGCGGACAAAATTGGCAGGACTTGCAAAACGGTCGTCAATTTCATGATGCAGAACACGTCATGCTCATCGTTCCGCTACAAGATATGCCAATCTAGCGGCCAAGAAAGGTGCCCCGGAAAGGAGGGCAAAAAACGGTTCCTGCATTCCTCAGTATGGCGGGACCAAGGGACATTCTCACCGGCTTCGCGAGGAGTCGGGGCATTGGAGAATCCTAGATGGCACGTCGAACAAAAAGAAACCGCACCAAAGAATCGGGATGTTCAGGGGAAGGAACTCTGTTTTGACATAACCAATGGTAGGGAGTCCAAAAGGACTCACGATAACACTAGAAGTAGTGCGCCAAAGAGGTTGAAATTCCGAGATTAGCCGATGCCTTGGATGAACTTAAGAGATCTGAGAGATCACCTACAAAGTAAGACACAAGATGTCGAAGTAACCTCCCCGGTCAAATCGAGAACACCGTTCTCGAAGAATTAGACAAAGTTGAGGTCCCGAAAAGATTCAGATACGCCGAGGTTCCAAATACACGATGGGAAGTCGGACCCCAACTTTCAGTCGGATTATACCTGGAACGCGATGGCGTTATAACTAGAACGAGCGTTTGCTTTGTTGCTCTGCAAAGTGTTCCCCTCATCATTCGGGGAAATTGCATCGGACTGGTTTCACAAGTTGCTGAAAGGAATTGTGAAAACCTGGGAAGGCCTGGCCGAGATATTTGTGGCTAGGTTCGTGATAAACAAACTACAGCCATTGAGGGTAGACGCCCTAATGGCCCTGAAGATCGGCGAGGATGAAAGCCGTAGGGCCTATGCCAAAAGGTATTATGAGGTATTCAACCGAATACCAGGATGCAACCAAGAGGTGGCGGTCATGCCGTTTAAAAACGGCTTGAATGATGACTGTCTGCTTCAAAAATCACTGGCAAAGACATTGTCGAAAAACATGGAGGAGCTGATGGCCAGAATAAAAAAGTATGCCAGAGCCGAGGAAGACACGCCGGAAACAAAGGCGTCCAAACAAGAGAAGAGAAATGGTTCGCCGAAGCAAAGCTGAGATAATACTGGACACGAGAAGACAAGAGCTTAGCCCAAATGAGCAGATCCCAGATTCCAGATCTGGAAACCCAGATCTCAGAAGACAAGATCTCGGCTTAGATGATTAAGTCCGAGAAGAAAAGAGCTTAGCCTAAGTTAAAGAATTTTTTCCACAAAGGAGTATGTGGAAGCCATGCAGGGGGCAGATCCCCTGCCCATAGAGTAATATCAAGGTCAAAGCCACATGCCTAATGAGAACCCAAGTGGAACTTAAGTTCACATTGGGGGGGCAAAGGACTGAAGAATGATGCTTTGGAGTTGGAATTTCACAAGCCGAGATTATGTTTAACACTTATTGAAACTTGAGAAAAGTTTACAAGTTGAAGTTAAACCGAGATGATGTTTAACACTTGTTGAAATTTCAGAAAAATTTACAAGTTGAAATTAAACCGAGATTATGTTTAACACTTGTTGAAACTTGAGAAAAGTTTACAAGTTGAAGTTAAACCAAGACTAAGGTTAAACACCTATTGAAATTTTTTGAAAAAATTTACAAGCTGAAACCAAGGTTATGTTAAGAAAGGTACTTGGGTACTTGCAGAGGTAAATCATCAGTTTGTATAATCGAGGTGTGTCACCCCAAGAAGGTTGCACAAAGATTAAAGTTTATATTAAAGATATGCAAATTATTTTAATATAGAATCGTACAAGAGAAAAAAGAAGACACATATAACCACGTTGAAAGAAGAAATTAAAGAATGCATTCAGAAAATGAAAGAAGGCACTTCGGCCTAACATTGAAGAATGATTGTTTAGATTACAAAAAGGCCTGTGTGAAGTACGCCGGTGTCAGACGGTGGTAATAAGCAAAGAAGTGCAACGAAAGCAGCAATTTTTTTTTTGATTTTGATAAAAAACATGAAAAATAGCAATTATGGTGCCTTGGAAGACGTGCTTGATAGACGGCGCACGCAAAAATGATGCGACTTGATGGCGCGTATCAGATCCGGTCCAGTGAGGGAAAGACACATAGTGAAAACGGTTGAAATACTATGCGTACCAGCTTATACGCATGCTGGAACTCTTGGAGTTCTTGATTCAATGAAGCAAATACCTCGGGTAGGAGGACGATATCAATTGAGAAACTTGAACGAACTTGGTCGTTGGTTCTAAAGCATTTATGAAAGCAGACTATAGGTCTTGGTCATATTGAGCCGACGAGTTCTAACTTCAGCAATAGATGATGAAGCGAGCTTAGCTGACGTGCTAAATGGAAGAAATGATATAGGTTTCATCACCTTAGGATGCTGAGGTAATAGAATCTAGGAGGCAGTTGTGGGGACATAATTTTTGAATGACAACACGTGGGCGAGGTGTCACTGAAGTACCAGCCGAGGTGCCACATGTCCTAGTCAAGACGCCGAGATGATCTTGGCTAGGCCAAGGTTATCTGCGAAGAAACCGGAATCCGGGATAAGCAGATAAGGGATAAGAGTCCTAGAATGGAAGAGGACTTCAGTTTGGATAAAGATAAGACTCTTAGAGAGTTTATCCTAATCCTACTAGGAGTCCAAGATTAGCAGTAATCCTAAGTTCATTGGAGCTTGGCTTCTATTGGGACTAGGATTATGTTCGCTATAAAAGAGAGGCACCCTCATGAGTCTATGGTATGTCTTTTATGCTTTTGATATTCTGTCTAGTGAGTTAAGCACTATTGGTTATCTTTGAGAGATATTGAGCACTGACTTGATCGTCGGAGTGCCCCCGGGTGGACGAGCCACCGCCGGAATCTTCTTTTTCTGTTGCAGGTCAGACATGTGTCATCTATTCTGCAAGTACTCTCTAGCTGAATATTGAGTTGGCAGTGTGGTCGGAAAATCACTCACACACAATGTATGTATGCCCGTAATACACTAGGACATTATGGGCATACCTACAATTATATAAGCAAAAACAACATTGTATGTATGCCCGTGGAAATTGTATTTATGCCAGGCACATTTATCTATCTAGCTATATATTATATAAGCAGAAGCGAGTTTTCGTGGGGAGTTTTGTGAGAACTCCAAAATTTTAATAAATTTGTGATTTTTATCAAATTAAAAAATAAAAAATAAATAGTGTTGGGATTACAATTATATTCTAATCATAACATTATTTGCACCGTGCCTTAAAGTACGGGCATACGCTAGTCTATATAATAAAGTAGGATGGTTTTTGAAAATGTCCTACACACATTTGTCCTACTATGACATTTGTATGGCTCAGATCTATTCAAATTATAAAACAACAGCTGAGATATATTTTTTAAAAGATATCCTACATGTACATTTTCTATTTTCCCGCTTCTCTGTCTTACTTTTTCCTTTTCTCACACATCCTTTTATAATCCCATGATCCCACCTTCCTCTCTCTTTTCTTTTTATTTTTTTATTTTCTCCCATTTTTATTTTCTCATTTTTGTTCACTTATTTTTATTTATATTATATGGAAAAATCTACAATCTCAGAATTAGGAGCCAGATTTTACTGTGTGTAGCGAAGATTAAATTAATGAATTTTATAGTCCACAAATTAAATAAATTTGAACGATTAATTACTATTTTTGAATATATTGAATACCTAATAGACTTCATAAATTTAGACATTATATGAATCTTTAACATCTATATAATAAAATAGGATAGTTTTTGAATTTGTCCTACACACGTTTGTCCTACTAGGATATTTAGACGGCTTAGATCTATTCAAATTATAAAATAACCGCTGACCTATATTTTTCAAAAAATATCCTATATGTACATTTTTTATTTTCCCGTTTCTCTTTCTTACTTTTTCCTTTTCTCACCCATCATTCCATGATCTCATGATCCTACTTTCCTCTTTTTTTTCTTTTTCATTTTTTATTTTCTCTCGTTTTTATTTTTCTCTCTATTTGTTTATTTTTTTATTTTCTCTTTTTTGTTCAATATATTTTACACATATTTCTATACAATGTATGTATGCTTGTAATACACTGGGATATTATGAGTATACCTACAATTTTCATATAATTATATAAGCAAAAGCAACATTGTATGTATGCTTGTGAAAATTGTATTTATGCCAGGCACATCTATCTATCTAGCTATATATTATGTAAGCAGAAGAGAGTTTTCGTGGGGAGTTTTGTGAGAACTCTAAAATTTTATAATAAATTTGTGATTTTATTAAATTAAAAAATAAATTTAAGTAGTGTTAAGATTTCAATTATATTCTAATCCTAACATTATTTGTACCGTATATTCAGACACGGGTATATACTAGTATATATATATAACAAACAGTTAAGTATGAGAGAGTGACAATTAGAGATATATTATGGGGGGATTATTATTCAGTGAGAGTAGAAAAAAATTATAATAAGATGTAAGTAAAAATTTGTGAGACACAAGTTACAAGTTTCATTTACATTCTTTCATATTTTTATATATATATTTTTTGATTTCTGCCTCACCGGATAGTAATTTTCCCATGGAAAATGAGTGAGAGCACTAATTAGTGTTACCATTAATGATGTAGCAGTGGGCTCTACCATGAATAATTTGATATTTTAGCCTTGATATTGTATTTTTTTTTATTGAGTGTCATGTCATTAGTGATCTTTTTAGAGTTCCAAAATTAATAATCTCTATCATTGTTGTTTTCCCATAGATCATAATCTCGGGTGATTCGTACGATTTAGGCCCTTTTGACATGTATTTATTTTAGTTTAAAAATTTAAAAATTATTAGAAAAAATTAAAAAATTATATTACTTTTTGTATGTCTTTCATAAAAAATTAAAATATTACTTAACACGTATTAATTTTTTTATCTCATATTTTCATTAAAATTATTAAAATAATAGGTTGCCAAAATCTAAATCAGGATGAGATCCACCACAAGACAAGTGTCAAGAATGTCAACGAATAAAGCTCCATGTTGAATAATTTCTCGTCGCGGAGCGGTGTTTTCCGACTTGATTTTATTGGCACCAGTCGTCGCTCTTTCACTCTCGCGTTCCACTCCTCACCCTCTCTCTCTCTCTCTCTTCATTGAAGCTTCTGGAGTAGAAACAGAGATAAACCTCAGCATTCACTTCCATTGGTAAAACAATTTCTTCAATCGTTTTCCAAGTTACAACAATTTTCAGTTTCAATTTTAATTTCGTTGTCTTCAACTCACTGCATTGGAAGAATTTGATTTTTTTCTATTATTGTTCTGTTTAAAACCCTAAGATTGTGATTTCAATCAGATTGCTCAATCATGATCGGTCAACTTGAACGCAATTCTATTTTCCTTCTCTCCAAACACTTCAACGTGAAATTTGATTTCAATTCTTGTGCCCTTGTGGTTCGTAGGGATTGAAATCAATATTGGTTCACTTAGCTGTAATTAGTTTTAAGCTTTCATACATTGGATTGATGACGGCTAGGCTTTTTTTTTTTTACTCATCAGGTGGTGGAAAAAAAAGTTGTTACAATGTTGCAATGGATGGGAGGATCAAGGCGGAAAGTGACAACTGTGAGTTTGGCATGGACTTAATTTTGAATTTGCCTGTAAATTGATTTTTTTTTTTTGACTCAGAATTTTATTTTGAAAAATTTAATAATTGTATCATACTAAAGTTCCTGCTCAATTTTGACTTTGCCTATAAATTGATTATTATTTTTTTAACTCAGAATTTTATTTTGAAGAAATTAGTAATTGTAGCATACTAAAGATTCTTAAACTGGAAAGTTGTTGGTTCTCCTAGTGCAACCGACCTTTACAACACATTGCTTTGGCATTTTTGATATCCCCAGAATAACTATTAATAATTAATCGTAATTTTAAATTGATACGAAGAAATGATGGAAGCTACATTTATTCAGTAAGTGTTTGGCATGCACTAAAAAAGTACACTTTTTTTTGCATATATACACTTATTTGGGTCTCATCTATCAACATCTCCTTTTTACTTTTCTATCCACTTTCTCTACTTTTTTTATACATTTTTTTTTTATAAAATGGCAAAAAGTACACTTATTTAGAACATCCAGAATCACACCTTAGTTGACTATGTGGAATATATTTAGTATAGTAGCTTTCCTTCTTCGTGGACTCTACTTTTAGTTAAATAATTAAATAAGTTGTCTTTCTCTTTCCGTTTACATATCAATATTTTTTGATAAGTTATTATCTTATACCTATCAAAATGAATATGCGCAACCCTTGATAGAGCTGAATGGAAAAAAAATATTTATGTAGTCGACCCCACTGATTGGGACACAAGGTTTAGTTTGGCTAGTACTCATAAAAAAATTATTAATTTATTAATTTGGCTAGTACTCATAAAAAAATTATTAATTTATTAATTAAAAAGTCAAAGATTCTCTTTTCTTCCTACTTTTTGCACATCTTTTCGTAATTAGCCAAAAAGTCATCCCAAACATACAAGTTTTTTTTACCTATCTTTTTAGCCAAATAGTCAAAAAGTTACTAAATTAGCCTCTTTTTCCCATGTTACTAAGAATGTATAACTTTAACTTCTATACTTCTACTCTACATATGATTATGAAAAAAATCAGGTTCATGTTTCACTTTTCCATCAGCAACTTAAGCTCTATGTGCATGGGCAAGACATTGTAGATTGCATCTAGTATGATTATGTTGAGCTTCTCTTTTGACATATGAGCACTTCCTTTTTTCTTTTTTGCATGACATTTCTTGATTGTGCTGAGATGGAGAAAATTTCAGTCAAGAAAGTCGACACAAAAGAGGTACATAAACATTTGTCATTTTTCTTTGTTGGAAATGAAGTGAACGATCATCTGCACTAGTATTCTTTGTTGCTGAGACCGTATGTTAGAATTTGACGTAATGTTAGATGTGGTAAATTAATACATTAAAAACACTTTAAATGTCCTAGGCAAAAGCAATATTTTGAGCAAAGAAAACGGCAACAACAGCAGCAGACGACTGGGCTAGACAGCTTTTCTGATGGAATGAATACATGCAGTCAGCATCAAAATAATAATCGATCGCTGGACATTCTTAGTTTGCTGAACTTATCAACAGTTGTTCAAAATTGCAAGTCAAGCTGCCGCAGTAGTAAGACTGACTAAAATTTGAGTGTCTTTTATAGAAGTTACTGGCTTCATATTTCCCTCTATATCTCTTTCTTGTTTGGTGGTTGAGATATAATTTATGACTGTTTCGTGTTATGTTTTTACTTAATTGCATCAGATATAATGTTGCCTTTTCTTTTCTCTGCAATTGATAGAGATAATACTTCTAATGATTCATCTCTCCCTTTCCATTTCTCTCTTTTGGCCATCTTAATGGAAATTGGTCAGACATGATGAAACTAAAGATGGAGTTGTGTTCATGCTCCCACAGATAAAATTAAGCAAACCAATTCAATACTAGTTTTGCTATTTGTATCTAATAACTCCTAGGTTTTTAGCAAACCTCACTATTTTCTATAGATTTATGAACTGACAATATTTTTTCTTTCTAGTCTTTGTTGTTTTTTTGTTAGTTCATTTGGTATTGTGGTCATATTTGGAATTATAATATGGTTTGCTTGTGGCTGTTAATTCTATAAAGAGTCATATCTTTCAAATTTGATGGAAATTGTAGTTCATATATACGAAAAGGTAAACAATATGAATACAACTTAATTAGAGATCCTCTACCTTGTATATTTGATTAATTAGCATCATTCTATCTAAAATTTTCTTGTTTGATGGCTTCATGGCATTCCACGTATATAACTTTCCTGAATCTTTCCTGTGGATTTCCAATTGAATAACAATATAAGCAAGGGAAAATTCAGAGGGTGCTGCTATGACAGTGAATCATCATATTATGGAGTATCCGCAAACAATCCAAATAGACAAAGTCACACAAGGAGACCCTATTGAATTTAAAGAATCAAGTAGGTCTTTCTGAACTCTATCCCACTTTGTAGCTTTAATTAGGCCATGTATTTCCCAACTTTGTTGGTTCAACTGGAGATATTGTATTCGTGATGGTTTATGATGAAGCAGGAAAATCATCAGGCTGCCAAGTGGAGATACTATACCCAAAGAAGTAAGCTTTTATGAGCATGAACATGCATTTGTTACAAAGGAGTTATGTTGTGTAAGAGTTGATGTTTTGCATGCTTCACTGGGTTTTATCAAGTGCTCCTGACTGTCAAAACAGAGATTTAATTGGAAATGGTGACAAAAGAGATCAGTTGAAGATGGCTAGTGAGCACCGTGAGTATCAAATAATAATTAATGCAATTTTTATGTATCCATCTTACTTGAGACTTGCAGGCTGTCAAAATTTATCAAATCTTGGTTGAATTGCTTATGATGCACTTGGCTCATTAACTGCCTTTTTTTTTTTTTTTTTAAATGAACCAGAGTTATCTGTCTTTGATTTACTTGGTGATGATGGACCAAGTGACAATTTAGAAGTCAGTCTCGTAAACGAAGCACATGTTGCATTTGCAGTTGAAGGTATGTTCTTGTTCATCTAGAAATTGAAGGAAAGTTTTACGTTTGCATATGTGGTGAAAATACAATTTACTTACAGGATAAGTAATATTTTAGGAAACTCAATTGTGGAAAGTAAAGATCAATTATTTATCATAAAAAGGCCACAAAATGTACTACAATTGCATTGCTTGAAGTTTGTGAATTTTGTTACTGTAATATGTGTTAAAAGACTTGTTTTGGAGTGGAGTGGTGGAGTGATTGCATAAAACTGTGTGTGGGGGTAAAGGAAATTAGCCTTGGAAACAGGGAAATTTCTTAATCCAAAAATTAGAGAATTCAAATTTATGGTCAAGAATTTAATGGAGAATTCTAACAAAAGTAGGCCTTTCAACTCAATTTTTTCATTGTGTTCTCATGCTTCCCTACAGTGACAGAATGATAGTTGTCACTTTTACAGTTGGTTGAACAAATTACTTCTTATTTGAAACACTGATTCATTTACAATTTTTGATCTTATGAAAAATGATATTGATAAGTAGCTATTTGAGGCTTTCCAGTTTTTTTGCCATGCATAAATCAGTTTTTAAGCCTTATTTTCTCATCAGGTTTAGGTAAAATGGAGACAGAAACACCTGTTCACTCACCACAACAGCCTGGCAGGTAACCGTATACATTCATAATTAAATTATCGATATCTTTAGCCTTAAACTTGAATTTTGTGTGATTTACCTATTATTAGTAGGGATTATATTTTAGCATTGTTAAGACCAATCCTCAAGGTTGACACCATCCTTGAGAGTTTTGCAATAGTGCAGACATATCTTTTGTAGGTCAAATTTGAATCCAAATTTTGTTTGTGAACTCATTCCACGTGATCTGCCAAAACTGCCTGTCAGAAAGCAGATTGGGCATATTACTAGATCTGTAGGGTGGCTGGGGCAAACTTGTAGGTTCATTTATCTTTGCCCAGTTTTGTGCTTTATGAGATCGCCCATTTGAGTTTTTTTACCACACCGGCCTGAACCTTGTGAAATTGTGAAACACTTCTAATTACAACAATACTCTTTTTACTGATGACTGCATATTGAAGATGAAAGTTTCACTTTAATTATGCAGTTATGCCTAGACTGATATGCCAAATCAAAGATCTAATCTCCATAGTTTTGAATGGAACCCTAAAAGCTTTTACCTTGACCATCATATTCATGTTAACTGCTGGTTTGTTAAAGTACAAAACATGAAAGTACAATACTTTAGTGGTAACCTCACAATTACATAGGAGAACCATTTTGTTGTGATAAGCAATTTCCACTTCCAAGAAGAAAGTAGGGAGATGGGTAGTTCTATAAGGTGATATTTTGTGGAAAGTAGGCAAATGTTTGGCACCTTATAAAGGGCAGCTCACTCATAACCTCTTTTACAATTCTGCTTGTGAAAGTTTTACTCTTTTAGCTAGTGGAAAATTCTTCAAGGTATGCCCATGCCATACAAGTTGTCTTAATTGTTTGCTTTTATAATACATTCTCACTCTTTTGTTGCATAAGATATATATATATATATATATATACACATGTGAATAGTCCTGACTCCTGACATATGTTTTTGTTAGTGTCGATTGCTAAAACTTTTTCCACAAAGGATAAAGTGTCTGGTTTTGTTTGTACATTTAGTACATATGATAGCAAATGAATTGCATATGACAACATAATGTTCTGATTTTTGCTCTGACACTCATGCTGTCTTTCATCTACTGTGGATCAACGCTGACAATCTACATGTTTCCTTGTTCATCTAAGGCTACAGGAGGCCATCTTGTTTGATTAATGATATCTGAAAAAAATTTCAAAAAAAGTGTATTTGAAATTTGATTTTGTGAATTTGGGCCCTGTTTGATTCTAGGATGTAAAGGATGGGATTGGACATTATATGTTGTGGGGTCCACATATCCCATGTTTGCAAAAATTTTTTTTTGAAGAGGATATAATATACTATGGGATTGTACATCCCCCAAAATTGGAGGATATACAATACCACCATCCCCCCATTATATCGTATCCCCTAGGTTGGGATATCATTTAAAAAGTCCAATTTACCCTCTTGTCTATCTAATATAATTATTGAATTGAATTTAATATTATTGAATTTAATATAATTTAATTTAATATAAATTTTGAATTTAATATAATATAATATTATTGAATTTAATTTAATATAATTTTTTTTATCATTATCAGGTTAACATTAATATAATATAATTTCTTTTTTGTTTGGAAAAATTATTGAATTTAATATGAATCTTTAATTTGTTCCAATAAAAAATAATATGAATTTTTAAATTATTTATTTGCATTAGTTTTGAATTTTGAATTTGTTTATTTGCATTAGTTCCAATATGGGTATGTAAAACATATTATGAGGGCAATCTTGGAAATTACTTGTTTATATTCCACAATATATTTTGTAAAACAAACATGGATAATAGATATTCAGTCTTATATATCAAGTTAACAAACATGAATTGGAGGATATATTATCCAATACATATATCATATTCATTATATATCCTGACTAAATCCCACATCATATTATATCCTTCATTTTATATCCAGTGAAACAAATAGGTGTTCTCAACTTAGTCTTCCCAACACATCAGTATGTTACAATCATGTTGTGGTTCTTAACGAAACTGTTTTATTTTTACCCTCTAGTCTTCCTTGCTGCGTGGAGGCTTGAATTAGTTTCAAGTGACTTAGCTGTAGTGTATTTTGGTATAATATGAGGACCAAGATGACTGGAACTTTGCCTTAACAGTGGCTTTCATTTTGCATTAATATAGAATCTTTTCCTATGGTTGCTGCTCGCCTTTGAAGGCTACAAGACATCCTCAGTCACCCAAGAACCTTAACAATCTGGTGTATGATCTTGAACTTGAAGCGGTGAGCATGTCCAATTCCTCTTTTTCATCTCCATAAAATTTCTGCACATGATTTTTTTCTTCAACCCATTTGCTGTGCTACAATTATCTCCATTTAGTTCTTTGCTTCCCAGAAGCGAGGTGAACTGAAACTTCCATGTTTTTATAAATATGGGGTTTGATATAGATATGATTTCCAACAAACTATTTTAAGTGAAAAGCATGTTTGCAATCTAGAGATAAATTGCAGGTAAAGATGAATTCTGAGAAAGTACTTGGTCAGACATCAAGGTTGATTATGGGTGTGGCTTTAATACATGAATGAGATGCAGAATCATGACAGTTGAAAAAAAGTGGTGTAACTTAAAAGAGGGAGATGGCTATATACAAAATGATTAATGAAGGGGCCAAATGAGAATTATGAACGTACTGAATACAATGACAACTTGTATCAAAGTAAAGGAAATGTTTTATGCAGCTTAATAAGGGTCACTGTTTAGTGTTTTTTTTTTAGGTACATACTGTTTAGTGTTTAAAACTGATAATTACTAATGGTTTCTACAGTCAATGCATTTGCTTACATATGTTATCACTTGAAAGGGTCTGAATTTTATTTGATAGACTTGACTCTGCATTTTATCACTAAAAAGATTAGTGTAAGTTTTTGTTTTTTTTTTGCATTTTATTTTTTCTATAGTTAAATTTGCATTGAAAAATTACCCTTAGTTTTTATTTCAGCAATTTAAGATCTTCCAAGTCACTACCTCAGCATGGAAATTTTCAATTAAATTTTCAGGTTTATTGAATAACCCCTTATTAGAAACTGGAACACATGAAAAAGAAGAATGCTAAAAACTGTCCAGGAACATTAGAAAACATTTTGTAGGCCAAATTAGAGGCAATGAATTGCCTTTTCAATATAATGGCAGTAACAGTTAATAGAATTGTAATATTGCTGGGAGCAATGAGAGTAAATCTTGAATCCTTGATCAGTTCAGTTTTGCTGAATTTAAGATCATTAGTATCCACATCTGATGTAAGGATGCCTGTGTGGGTGTGATTATAGTCTGTTTTTGACATTCATTTTTGTTTCTCTATTTGTAATCTCATAATGATCTGGGACCAAACTAATATAGCATACAACTTGCAGGATGCCATGATTCAAGATATTAATTTGCCTCTCTGCGGCAATTTTTTTGAGCTACCATTCTGTTCTAGGGGCACAGAAAATTCATTTAGCAAACCAAGGCAGAAGTTATCGACTGCCAAAGAGTTCTCGCAATTCAAAAGCAATGCTAGTAAATTGAAAAATTCTTTTTCTGATGATGAAATCTTCTGTAACATGGAAGAAAAAAATGATGATATATGGAATGGTAGGTTCTTTTTTTCAAATTTTTTTTTTTTTCAAATGTTTTCGTTGAGAATTCTTATTATTGGTTTGAATTGGTATTTTAAGATAAGTTCTAGCTGGCAGAAGTTATCGACTGCCAAAGAGTTCTCGCAATTCAAAAGCAATGCTAGTAAATTGAAAAATTCTTTTTCTGATGATGAAATCTTCTGTAACATGGAAGAAAAAAATGATGATATATGGAATGGTAGGTTCTTTTTTTACAATTTTTTTTTTTTCCAAATGTTTTCGTTGAGAATTCTTATTATTGGTTTGTATTGTTATTTTAAGATAAGTTCTAGCTTCTACATATATTAGATGCATCTGCATTTGTAATCTGGTGTATAACATTCCTTGAAATTATATGGTTGATTTTCCAAGTAGCCAGTTGAACCAATTTCTAGTTCAATCTACGTTGTTTAGGTCTTCAGCTTTAATTTACAATGACATTCTGAAGGTTCAGCTTGAGATATATGATTTTATTATCAACTTCTTATGATAAACTGTTGGCACAAGTTTGGGCATGTTTAAACACAATTGATTGCTTAAAATTGAGCATATTCATCGGTAAGTGCATTTGATAACCCATAATCACCTACACCCTAAAGTTGAAAATTCACTTAAATATGGTCTTAATTTCAAGTTAGTGAGACTCGACTTCTTGTTGAATGCAGAATACACTCAGTAGAATACAGTTTTTACATTTTAATCTTATCTAAAATATCTATCTTCAAGTTTGTAACTCTGAAAATCTAGTATTTAAATATTTCAGCACTGCTAATTCAGTATTAAAATTTCAGGACTTGATATTTGTGAACAGTGTCTAGTCTTAATTTTGTAGTTATACTGGGATGAAACTTAGGTGGTTGCTTTATAGTACTATTCTTTAATGGTATTTGCGATGCATATGAAATGCCGCTTTGATCCTGCTTGTCAAAGTCTAACTTGTTATGATCAAAAAGTCAAATGACAGAAATCTTACTCTATTTTCAACAGCTAGGTGTAACTTCCTAGATCGAAATTTTCTTGATGAAGACTGTGATATAAAATGGAAGAATAGGTCACCTAAAATGGATGGCAGTTCTGCTGATTTTTGGCATCTAGGAAACCATGAAATTTCAGACTTCGCTTTTGAATACCCCTATTTACAGAAAATTAGGTATTTTATGTAGAACTGACCTTTCTTTCCTACCTGTTTTAGAATGTCATTCTGTTAAGTTCTTTGACCAAGTTGTTATATCTGTGTAGGGTTGCTGAGAAAGTGACAGGCAGATTCAATATCTCAGGTTCTTCCGGTCTCAGCATGAGTACAAAGTTTAATACCATATTTCTGGTCTTAATTTTCGAAGGATTGATATCTATAAAAGAAAAAATTGGAACCGTGGAAACCTAATAAGTATGAACACAGACACACATGCTGATATGGTGATTTCAAAAAAATGGGGACACAGACATAGCGGGGAAATGGCAATAAAAAAATATTTATATATATTTGCTATGTAAATTAATATTACATCCATAAATAATCAAAATCAACAAAAACTAACACTAATTCAATATAATAAGAAACCCTACTTTTAAGTTAACCCTAATTGTTTATGTTTTTTATGAATATGATCTATGAATTATTTAAATATAAGCAAAAAGTAGTAAACATTCAACATCTAAATGTTAAGTTACCAATTGTTCCAAAAGCTTAAGCTATTAGGAAATTGGTCCAACAATGTATATCAAGCTATCTAACACTCTCCCTCATGTGCAACCCCCTCTTGCACATAGAGAGACACACGTAAAATCAAACATAAGGAGAAGTAGACAACCAAATGAGGACCTAATACTAAATGCCAACAAAGAGATTTGAACCCAAGCCGTCTCTACCTGAGCTCTAATACCATGTTAAGCCACCCGTCGTCCCAAAAGCTTAAGCTGTTAGGAAATGGGTCCAACGATGTATATCAAGTTACTAACACCAACATCCATCAAAAGCACTAAACAAGAGGGGGAAATAAGCTAGTTAACATGTCCCCAGTGTGTCCTTTGGGGTGTCCTTCGAAAACGAATTAATTAAATAAATGGACACAACATGACCCCTTCCATGTCTCCATGTCCACACAATGTCCCCATATCTGACATCACTGTGGCATCTGTTTTGGAGTGTTGGTACTTCATGTTTGGAAACAAATGAGTTGTTCATTGTAATTTTTGCAATTAAAATAAAAATTGGAACATTACACCTTCAAAGATGTCCTCTGTCTCATGACCAAATTAGTTGATTTATTGGTAGCTCATGTAGCAAATTAGTTGATTTACTAGTAGCTCATGTAGATCTGAGAACTTTTTTTGGCGGTGGTGTGTGGATTCCAGGGTGCTTTTCTAAAAAAAAAAAAAAAAACTATTTTTTGTTTGTTAACGATTACTTAACTGGGTTTGCAAATGGTGATTACTTGCTGGATGAATCAATATTCTGTTAGCTTCTTATATCTGAAGAACTACTGTAATTGTATTTATCATGGTGAAGTGCATATATGTTTTCTGAAGCTTTCCAGGAGAACCCATACTTATCCTACTGTAACTTGTTGTGCTAGTCTTGGGAAACGATAACTTGAGATTCTTTTTTTTTTTTGGTAATAAACTTGAGATTCATCCCTTCAATTCTTTTGAGTAGTGTAAACCTTCTTTTGTTAAGGGTTGTAATGGGGAAATTTCGATGTCTGACAATTAATTTCTAGGTTGCCAGGAGGGAAAAAATCTTGTACGCACCTTCTCATACCTTTGGGTTTGGATTTAGAATTACACAGAATCTTTCTGGGGATGCGTTTTTTTAAGTTATTATGGTAATGCCATGCCAATTATTTAGAACTTTAATAGAACCACAAATTGAGGTTATATGCTATTTTAGAAAATGAAGAGGATGCAAATTCACCATACAGGGGATATTTACCCTTCTCTACTTGTACATGAGAAACTTATCTACTTTCAAGACATATTCTGGCAATCTTCCATTGAGAATTTGGTGACCTTGGAAAATGATGATCAACTCTTGGTATTTACTCATTGATTTTTTTCCTTTTCTTTTCTTTGGTAATCAGACTCACCTCCACCATATTCCAAGCAAAGAAGATCAGAGAATGATCGTGATTTTATAACTCCAGATGAAACATGGTATGATGTTTCTGCTCAAAGTTTTTGTCGATACCTCAGCATATACTGAAAGAATCTTGTATTGTATGATAGCAGGTATCCAATGGGAGGAAGAAAATGTGATATAAGAGATGTAACTAACCACCAAGCATGGTCTTGCTTTGTAACAGAAAATGCAGAAGAGAGTTTGAGCTTGCTGAGGTTAGAATTCTTTGGTACTGATGTTTCTTGTCATTTCATTTCTCTTTTACTTTTATCATCTGAAATTAGTACTTTTTGGTTTTCTATTGGTCCTACTATTTTGACAGCGAAGAATCATGCTCTTCGAGTGCAGGTTATTTTTATTTCTTGCAATGGATGAATTTTGATATTTAAAACTTTTTTTTCCCAATCTTCTAAAAGGATTTTTTTTTTCACCAACTCAGTGAGAGGCAAGGCCACTAATAGGTCACCATCAGATTCAGTTGCAAGACAGAACATAAGAAGATATGGCAGGGACATTAGGAGCCTGGCAAATAAGTGCAGTGTTGAGAATATATATGCCAAAGATAGACACTACGAAAAAAGTGATAATTTCCATGAATGGAAGAAGATAGATGAACCAGGCAAATTTACGAAAATGTGCAATCCATCAAGTTCAAACCCAGCCCATTACTCAAACACTACTTCCCAGAAAAAATTACGACCAGAGGACAGTTGTTTGTTTGAGGAAGAATATATTTCTGCTGATAGGGATTCAGGATTCGGTTCATTCTGCCAAACTTCAGGGGCAAAAAAACGTGCATCCTCAGGTCCCATGTGTTGGACTGAAGATCACTTTGGTGCATACCCTCTTCCTGAATTACATGCTAATGCCAAATCATCTTTTGCGAGATCCATACACAATGTCCTTCCTGAACTTTCGCCTTCTGGTAGCTTTTCCTCAGAAAAACTTGGATTCTGCCAACCATATAGTAATGTGCACTCTTATGAGACTCCTGTTTTCTCAACCATTGGGTCTGGCCGAAGCAAACCAAATTTACATATGGATTCCAATGTTGAAGTTAGACCTCAAGATTCATTCCCTGTTTCAGGTTCTCATCGTGATGCAGAGTTTCTCTGTGTATCAGTGGAAGAAAGTGTTTCAAAAAATGGGGGAAATAGATCAGAAATCCTGCCAACCGACTGCATACAATTTGAGCTACAGAAAGACATCGGCATTTTTTGGTAATAAACTTGAGATTCATCCCTTCAATTCTTTTGAGTAGTGTAAACCTTCTTTTGTTAAGGGTTGTAATGGGGAAATTTCGATGTCTGACAATTAATTTCTAGGTTGCCAGGAGGGAAAAAATCTTGTACGCACCACCTTCTAATACCTTTGGGTTTGGATTTAGAATTACACAGAATCTTTCTGGGGATGCGTTTTTTAAAGTTATTATGGTAATGCCATGCCATGCCAATTATTTAAAACTTTAATATAACCACAAATTGAGGTTATATGCTATCATCATTTAATATATTGGCCATTTTTTAGAAAATGAAGAGGATGCAAATTCACCATACAGGGGATATTTACCCTTCTCTACTTGTACATGAGAAACTTATTATCTACTTTCAAGATATATTCTGGCAATCTTCCATTGAGAATTTGGTGACCTTGGAAAATGATGATCAACCCTTGGTATTTACTCACTGATTTTTTTCCTTTTCTTTTCTTTGGTAATCAGACTCACCTCCACCATATTCCAAGCAAAGCAGATCAGAGAATGATCGTGATTTTATAACTGCAGATGAAACATGGTATGATATTTCTGCTCAAAGTTTTTTGTCGATACCTCAGCATGTACTGAAAGAATCTTGTATTGTATGATAGCAGGTATCCAATGGGAGGAAGAAAATGTGATATAAGAGATGTAACTAACCAACAAGCATGGTCTTGCTTTGTAACAGAAGATGCAGAAGAGAGTTTGAGCTTGCTGAGGTTAGAATTCTTTGGTACTGATGTTTCTCGTCATTTCATTTCTCTTTTACTTTTATCATCTGAAATGAGTACTTTTTGGTTTTCTATTGTTCCTACTATTTTGACAGCGAAGAATCATGCTCTTCGAGTGCAGGTGATTTTTATTCTTGCAATAGATGAATTTTGATATTTAAAACTTTTTTTCCCAATCTTCTAAAAGAATTTTTTTTTTTTTCACCAACTCAGTGAGAGGCAAGGCCACTAATAGGTCACCATCAGATTCAGTTGCAAGACAGAACATAAGAAGATATGGCAGGGACATTAGGAGCCCGGCAAATAAGTGCAGTGTTGAGAATATATATGCCAAAGATAGACGCTACGAAAAAAGTGATAATTTCCATGAATGGAAGAAGATAGATGAACCAGGCAAATTTACGAAAATGTGCAATCCATCAAGTTCAAACCCAGCCCATTACTCAAACACTACTTCCCAGAAAAAATTACGACCAGAGAACAGTTGTTTGTTTGAGGAAGGATATATTTCTGCTGATAGGGATTCAGGATTCGGTTCATTCTGCCAAACTTCAGGGGCAAAAAAACGTGCATCCTCAGGTCCCATGTGTTGGACTGAAGATCACTTTGGTGCATACCCTCTTCCTGAATTACATGCTAATGCCAAATCATCTTTTGCGAGATCCATACACAATGTCCTTCCTGAACTTTCGCCTTCTGGTAGCTTTTCCTCAGAAAAACTTGGATTCTGCCAACCATATAGTAATGTGCACTCTTATGAGACTCCTGTTTTCTCAACCATTGGGTCTGGCCGAAGCAAACCAAATTTACATATGGATTCCAATGTTGAAGTTAGACCTCAAGATTCATTCCCTGTTTCAGGTTCTCACCGTGATGCAGAGTTTTTCTGTGTATCAGTGGAAGAAAGTGTTTCAAAAAATGGGGGAAATAGATCAGAAATCCTGCCAACCGACTGCATACAATTTGAGCTACAGAAAGACGTCGGCATTGGGAGCAATGAATTGTCCTCTGAAAACGGACAGTCGTTAGAAGCTTCAGGTTCAAAGGACAACTGCAGTGACTGCAATGAAGCAAAAGGTTTAACTCCAAAATTGGAGGGACGAAAAGCAATGGTTTCTCCTGAACATGCAGAAGAAATATCATCTTCTGTGAAGATACGTTGCAAGTTTGAGGGGAGTATTGATGAAAAAGAGTAAGTGAGACAATTGAAATATACTTCACCACTTTTCATTCTCATCTATGGTTGTTAATGAGGTTTACGTCATTTGCAGATGTCACAATGATACTCAAACTTCTCTTCCACGTCAAAACGGAAGTATAGGTAGCTCTATACCTTTTTTTCCATGGCCTTCTTTCTTGAACTACGCTGCGTTTTTGACTTCATTAGTTCTTGCCACGTTTTGTCCATTTCTATGTCTTTAACGGAGGATGAGTCTGTCATTAATTTGGAAATACAGAAACAGAAGATTCTGGGCGAAAAGAAAGGAAGCTAGAAAGCAAGGGTCAAGATAATACTAGCGTTAACCCATCTTGCCAGGTGATGATGCTTGAAAGCTATGTTCTTCAGCTTCTATGCGTGCAGAAGGTATTGAATGAAGCATCTGTGCAGGGCACAGTGAAGAAGGTATAATACTTTTTGCATTTAGTAGATAACCCGGACTCTTTGAAACTCTTTGTACTAGTTTCAAATGGTTTCTGTAACCTACCATATTGCAAATGGTTCTGCAAGTGACTTTGTGTTTTCTGGAAAATGGAAACAGAAAACAAAAAATGAAAACATAACCAAACAGGCCTTTGAAGGTGCGAACATTATATGCTTTAGTTAGCATTCATGCAAAATAGGAAAACCAATGCCACACCCAAATTAAAAAATTTCCAAAAATATATGAACTTCGTAGCATCAGCTGTAACAAAAGTGTTTTATCCATTCATATCGGATGCACTTGCCAAAAAAGTCATATTGGATACCAATAGAAATGGATGAGTTCATTCTTCTGTTCCTGTTGATTTCTCAGATATGTCTCCTGCATATTTTCTTCTCTTCTCTAGGGTACACTTTATTTAGCTTCCCATGCACAGCTTCCCATTGGTAGGTTTGCTGAATTTTGTCATGTGACATCGCAATTTCTTAATATCTGATTGTTGGAGAGGTTTCAGCATGAACTCTTGAGCTCCTTCTTTCATGCATCTGTTTAGGTGAACAAGATTAAAGAGAATACTGTGAATTACTCACCCAATTAACGGAAACCAACTACATAATAGGATGAAGGGTGAGTGATTACTTCTTGATTCGAGTTGGGACATTCTCGGAGGACACTATCACTACTGGAATCTCTTTTAGGTCAGACGATTCCTGTTGCCCCCCCCCAAAAAAATAGATTTAGGATATCGCACTTCTTCACAAACTTTGTAAAAATCATCAGAGCTCTTAAAGCATTTGAAGTTACCTTTAATTTTTTAAGTAGCTCATACCCTGTCATTCCTGGCATACAATAATCAGTGATTATCAAGTTCACCTTTGAGTCCTGCAAAGGGTATGTTTTTGACAAAATTGGTATGTGATTCTGAAACCTGAGTTTCTAGGAAAACAAACAGAACTATAAAAATCCATGTGGTAATAGAAGAAGTTTTATTGCAATATGTTGTTTATATGAAGGACCACTTACCTTCTTCTTCTTCTTCTTCTTGTTAATGATGTGTTGTCTATCTCCTAGGCCCAAAAGTTCCAACGCCCTTTGCCCGTTCTCTGCTGTAGTCACTGCATACCAAATCATAACTCATCCTTCAGTCCAAACAAAACCTTCTAAAAACCCAGAATTATGCTGAAAAATATTGGTAAATCTATTGAGAACGAAAATGTTGTCTCCAATTTTGTCACCAAATTTGTTTGTTTGTTTGTTTGTATGTCTTTTTCTTCTTTTTTATTTTTATTTTATTTTTTTTTTGGTGAGGTGGGCTCTACTCAAATTGTGTTTTGACAACTTTTCATGATACGTAATCTCCTTTTAAAAAAAATATATTGATTGACCGTGGACCATGTTATTTTGAAATTATTTTTTTTCTTTTTCCTCTTATAAGTCACCATGATCAAGGGGTTTTTTATTTCAATTTATTTTGATAAATGTCAAATTACGGGGAAAGGACGTATAGGAGACTAGAACACACCTTCCTTTATATATATATATATATATATATTTTTGCCCCCAAATTACAGAGGCATTCTGTTTAGAAATTCAGATCCTCTAGAGTGGCCTTAATTGGGGTTATCAATTAAAATTAAATTGACACAATTTAAAATTAAATATAAAAATCGAGCTAGTTGAAATTATGGGGAGTAAAATAACACGACAAACAAAATATAAGAACAATTAATGTAATTTATTTAAAAAAAAAAGATGGGGTTTATGTCATTTTTAACCCCACTTTATTTACGCTTTATGTAGAATTAGTTTGTTATTATGGTAAATAACATAACTCAACAATTAACTATATCAATGTATGATCTTGTTACGGTTAATCATTCTATTAAGATTATGTTAGGGATTTAAACAATATTAGATCATATGTAAATCACATAACACATTTATTAAATTTTTAGGATAAAAATATTTTTATCTAATGATTTCGTTTGTACTATACTACACTTGTAAGATAAATGAGATAAATTGCAAGTGAGATTACTAGATAAAAGTATTATTGTCTTAACAAAACCAATAAAAGATATTATTGTTTTAAACAATTAATAAGTGTGTCGTGTTTTACAATTGATTTGTTTTTGTTTAAATTTTAGGACAAAATTATGACAAAAGGTGTTAAGTGTAATAAGATAATAGTTTGAGTTGGTTAATTATTGCATTTTGAAGTTTGGAAAGGTAAAATACAAATGAATTATAGTTGACGGGAGTTAAATATAACAAAAATGTTTGGGAGCTCTAAACTATGAGCTCTAGGGATGGGTCCAACTTAATTGTGATGTTTTGGCCTTAATTGTTGTTGTTGTTGTTTTTTTTTTGGTAATTGATATGATTTTTTTTTTTTGAGTTTTCACCTCATTAGTGCTCAATTAGAGTTTCTAAATTAGAGGAATGAATCATTGTTGTAAATATAATTTAGTCTTGTTATTTTTAAGGATAGAAAAAGGAATTTCAAATGTTTTAAATTGGAAGAAAATTGTGGGACCGGATATATGGACCAATCCTTGAGAGAATTGATCATGTGTCCTTGTTGGACAAAGATTAGGGGTGAGCATGGATCGGATTGAAAAAAAATCAAGACCAATCTGTTATTTACAGATCTTGAAAAATTAGAACCAATCTAATCCGTTTAAATCGTGGAACTAATCCGAATCAATCCATTTAAACACGGATTGAATTGGTTTAGGACCACGGATTTACATGATTAAATAACAAAAAAATATATATAACACTTTAATTTCATAAATATATATATATATATATATATAGCACCATATTAGTTTCACAATAGCAACAAACTGTTGTAGAATTCAAATAATCATAAGAAAATTAGTTCCACCATAAGTATTTAGACCATTACAAATTAATATTAAAAATTAACAAACAAAAGTAATAAAAGAAGATACTATATAAGTTTAGGTTTAGATTTAAGTTTTATATAAAATAAGAGAAGATATTATGCAGGAGGGTGCATAATAAAAAAATAAACTATTTGTATACGGTTCGGATCGGTTCCAATCCGGAACCGTGGGGTTCAATCCAGAACCAATCTGTGAATTACGGATTTTTAATTTCAATCTGGAACTGAACCACGGATTCAAAAAATCAATCCAAACCTACTGAACTAAACTAGACTAGATCTGATTACGAATTTCACAGATTCCTTACTCAGCCCTAGCAAAGATCTCCGGCCCAATCTCTCTTACCAACTAAACATAGCATAAATATCGTTAGAACAGGTCGTGGCAAGGACCAACTCCTTTCTTATAGAGGCTTTACTTTGTCAAAAAATTCAGCTGGTTTGGTTTTAGCTTTTAAAAAAAAATTAATTTTTTTATTTTTTATATATTTTTATTTTTACTAAATTTTTTAATATTTTATACAAATTTTTTACTTTTTATGTACACCTAACATAAATACACCTAAAAAGTAAAAAATTATAAAAAAAGTCTTTAAAAAATTCACTAAATACTAAAAATATAAAAAAAATACAAGAATTTAGTACATTTTTTATATTTTTATGTATTTCTAACCTAAGGATTATCGAAACGGATAGGATAGGAAGTGCATGGCAGGGACAAGGGTCGACCTTTTGCTTAGAATACAACTAATAATATTTTTTTTAAAAAAAATTATCATTACATTTAGCTTTGATGGAAATTCTAAAAAATATAAATATATAATGATTTTTTGTATTTAATAAATTTGTAAAAAAAAAAAAAAAACGTTAAGTGTACTTTTAAGTGTATCAATGAATCTAACAATTGAAAAAATGATGAAAATATTAAAAAAATATACTCAAATAGTAGAATTCATATTGGAAACTCAAAAAAATTATTTTTTAAAACTTAAATAAAAAAAGAGTGTATATGTTAAAATGAACACAAATTCACAAGCTTTTCTGTTTTTTTTTTTTTTTGGGGGGGGGTTTGATTTTCTTATCATAAATATTTGTGCATCAAGTTGTTTATCCAACGCCAAAAAGTTCATATAGTGGCCGTATTTTTTATTTTGATTTTTTAAATTCACAAAATATATGAACAAAGTATATTTTTAGCGAAAAGAAGAAGTAACGTTGGCCAACGTGGTGCAAAGCATGACATGAGAAAGAATGTGACTGAAGATGACATTGAAATCACGAACCTAAAATATATAACAAAATAAATTAGGAATATAAAATAGTTTTACCAATACAATTAGAGTTTTTAAGCAGGCTTTCGATGAGTTTCCTATCAACCAAACTGTCATCAACAGCTAAAACGTGTGGGCTTTCCTCATAATCCAATCCCATCGTAGACGATGAACAATCCATTTTTCTTTTCCAAACTTTCTACAAACCCAAACAGACCCCACAAATAATCTTGGAAAAACAAAACTGGAAACTACACAAACACAAACACAGGAGAGGGAGAGGTGCAAGGTGGAGGGGTAGGTGAGGAAGATGCCCTGTATATATAATATATATACACACGCATTTTATGAAGAAGAAGAATAAGAAGAAATCGTGATAAAATCGGATAACAGATATTTCGTTATCTTTATGGTCATTGGGGATACGATTGATTTGCAGACACGCAGCACACACAACAGAAGAGAGAGATCCCTATCTTTGGTAATTATTCAGTAATCTCGAAGCATTGACGCGTGGTATTTCATAATATCTATCTATACTATATATTAAGTAAAATGAGATTTTTAACCCCAAGGCCTGTGTGAGTTTTAATATCCCAATCTGAATTTCTAAATTTCTTATTAAAAAAAAAATTCTGCATTTATTGATTTGATCAAAATTCCTTAATCAGCATTTATTAACTTTTTTCAATCTACCTGTCTTTCCACATGCTTGCATTTATTGATTTGGACAAAATTCCTTGATCAGTATTTAAAATCCCTCATACAAATAATTATAGATACAATCTGTGTATAGTTACTGCAGTACCCTTTTTAACTTCTCTCATATACTATAGTTAGTGATAAAATTGTTAAATTATTTTTATAAAAATCTTAAAAAACATAATTTCTATATTAAAATAAATCTAAAACAAATATGAATATCTATAATTATCCCGGGTGATATGCTAGTTATGATTGGTGGAGAGGTAGGTAGGTAGGGAGGTGAGGTATTATATTAGGTGATTAGAAAACATAAGAAGCATATTAAATAATGATTAATTAAAGAGTATAAAACATTGAATAATTTCTCCACTCTGTTCTTCTTCCTAATCCTTTCTTTATCCTTCCAATATATCTTTAGAATCAGATCACTCTCCAGCTCACAACTCACGAAGTGACCTTTTTCTCTCTTCTATTTATATGTATTCACTTTTTTGTTTTTGTTTTTGTTTTTTTGTTTTGGTTATTTACACTTTCCATTCCTGTAGTTTAATCTAAGGCCAAGTTTGGCATATACAAAATAATTCATCTTTTTATTTTTTTATTTTTTTTTCATCACATCATCTCTCTATTTTTCTAAACATCTTTTCGTAAAAAGACAAAAAATACACTTATTTAGGTCATACCAAACAACCCCTAAATTTCACTTTAGTCTATATAATTTCAATTTAATTCCTACATATTAAGTCTAGATTTAATTTGCTCCTTCCTTCTAAATTGGAGGTTAAAATTAATAATTTTAAGATTTTAATTCCGTTCTTCCATCTAAAATTAAAAGCTAAAATTAATAATTTTTAGACACTTATCAACTTTTTAAGGTGTATACGTAGACAAAATTAACAAAAATTTAGATGGAATGATTAAATTAAAACTAGACTTAAAATGTAGGAACTAAATTATTCAAATTGAAACAATAAGGACTAAAGTAAAATTTGAATCAAATTACAGGGTGAAAAGTGTAATTAACCCCTTTTTTTTGGTCTTAAAATTGTAGGGTTCATGATTTTTAATTTTTTTTTTCTTGGAAACTACAATGTTCAAGATTTGATTTGATTCTCTTTGGTGCGTAGTCTATGTATGTTGTCTCTCAACCCTAGTATCACCTGCATTTGGTGGGTAATGCCACTGATTATCCAGTAATGTGTAATATTATCTACCTAAAATAATAATAATAATAATAATTTGTTTGGAATAATAATGATTCATATATATAAAGTGGTGGAAGAGATGTATCTAATAAGTTGGGCCTATCACATAACCATGTATTCATCATACATGTCATCTTATTTGAAAAGTAATATGATCATATGTTCTCCTCCTATAAGAATGACATATGACA